AACAGGGGTACAAGACCTTGCATGATTCCTGCAAACTAAGATTAACCTTGTTTTGCAAAGTGAGCTAGATTTTGGGCAAAGCTAACCTTCAATTGTTCCCTAGGGGAATGAGTAATCACTACGAGGAGCTGGAAATTTTTAGCTTGTCCTCAGACCTACGGAAATATCTTTGCTCTTTCCATGCATCTGTAAGAGCAACTGTTGTTTTCAGTCATTCAAGGGGAAAGTGTGCGGTAAGTGCCTCTTCTATTTTTGTGGTAGACTCCACAACAAATAAAGAAAGTCTCTCTGGGAAGCCTGAGGGTTGCTTTTTGGAATGTAAACTGCAAGGTTTAGAGAACTGTTGTGCAATAGTAAAACCAATTGATAAATTTGAGAGGTTGACCTGTGATCACTTTGCCCCTTATTCATGATATGCCTCATTATTATGTGCCTTGTGGCAAGGGGTAAAGTGGAGGTACTATGGTGGTAGAATGCTTAGGAGTACAGGCTGCTCTTATGCATAGAGGAAAAAAATCTAACCTTTCACCCATAGACTGAATGTACAGATTCTCAGCATGTGTTTGGTACATTGCAAATGCTTAGGAATTGGTAACCATTATTATTAGCAACTTACTAGACTCTGAGGACATGTGAATCATATTTAAAACTACAAAAACACTAACATTTACTTTTAACTTTAGACTAATTTTTTTTTTTTTTTACAAGGAGCTAAGAACTCTACTATCCTGTATTTGGCTTTTAAAAATGGATTTTTAGGATTTATTGATGTCTTGTAAAAATGTGCAATGTTCAGTATAGAAAACTAAAAATATATGTAAACATATGTAGGCTTATATGTATATGTAGACATATATGTCTTTCTTAGAAAACTGAATAATCCTACTTCTCAGGAATTTGACTGTTATCAGCATTTTTCTATATAATTTCAAGGTTTAGATATGCATAAATATTTTAAAAATCAAAATGGGAATTGATTATGAAAGCTGGTTTGGAAACTGCATTTTACATTTATTATTATATTTAAAACATTTTTTCTTTAAAACTACTAATTACTTTTAGTAGTTTTTGTTAGCTGAATAATAGTTTTTGTTAGCTGAATAATATTTCTTTGTGTGGATTTTCCATAATTTAAGAAATTTCCTATTTTCATGTATATCAGTTGTTTCTAGTTATTCATAATTATTTTAAAAATACTAAGATGCATAACTTTGTAGCCAAGTCTCTTTAGATAAATTCTTAGAAATAATTTTGGGGAGAATGTGTAATATTCAGGTATTAATACCTATTGTTACTTAACAAATTATCTCAAACTTAACAGCTTAAAATAACATACTTTTATCATCTCAGTTTCTGTGGGCCAGAAGTTCAGGCACAGCAGATTTTATTCCTCTGCAAGGCAGCAATTTAAGTGTCCACTGTCAGTTGGGATTGTGGTCTCATCTGAGGTTGCACTGGAAGAATCCACTTTAAAACTAACTCACGTCATTGGTTGAATCCATTTCTTTGTTTTGTAGGACTTCAAGCTTCATTTTCTTCCTTATGATAGGTAGGTACTCCAGGAGTACCTTCAGCTCTGAGATAGCCTGGAAGTTCATTGCCACATTGACCTTCTAACATAGCCAGTCCAAACGTGGCAGCTTGCTTCTACAAAACCAGCAAGGAAAGAGAAACATACTCCAGAAGATGGATATTAAAATCTGTTTCCTCTCTTTTGTTGTTTTCATTCTATTGAGTAGACACATGTTACAGGTCCACGGGAGAGCATGACAGAAAGGTGTAAACCCTGGTAGGTGATTATGGAGGCCACCCTGAGAATGTATCCACTACAATACATTTTTTAAAGCTTTGATAAATATAACCAAACTGAAAATATATCTCTGTTAGCCCAGAATTATTGTGACCTTGTCTTTAATTAACCTTGATCAATTTGTCTATCACCATTTAAAAATTAATCTGGCAATTTGATAGGAAAAAAGTGATATATTTTAATGTATTTGTATATTAATGAACCTAAATATATTTTATTTTGTTTTTTTTTTTAGTCATTTGCATATTTCTATTTTGCAAATTGCCTTTCATATCTTTTGGGTAGGCTATTAATGCTTTTTGTTGTTACACTTATTGCAAGTATTTCTTCTCCATTTTTCTGCTGATTGTTTTGGTGAGAATATTTCAGCATATGTCATATTTTATTTTATTTTATTTTAGTCAAATCAGACATTCTCTACCCTATTGTTATTCTCTTTGCCACCACATAGAACAAATGGTTTCCTCCTCTGGGATTATGTAAATATTCTAAAGCATTTTATAAAAACACTTAAAACAACTTTATGTCTTATTTTTGCATTTACATTTAATGTATATGATATGTATTTAGTATATAATATAAAACAGATATTTCTTTTTATTATTTTTAACATAAGTTGTTGGTAAATTTCTAGGAACTCATTAAGACTAAAAAGTCTAAAGAACCAGAACCAATGGATTGAGACTTGTAGAATTTTTAGCATCATAGAGGGTGGATAGAACAGATTTATTTAGGAAATGGGAGCTTTTTATTCCTCATGGTAGTTGTTGGCTGTGTCTATTTGTTAACACCCTTCTATTATGCCTTGAGTATATTTTTTGTCTGTGAATGTTGCAAAGAAGTACTGCAATAAATGCCAGTGAATTGACTGTGAGGTCAATAAAACCAAGAATGTTTGACCTTCCACTGGGTCCCTTTGCTTGTGTAGCAGAATCTGCTATCTATTCAACAAATTGCATTTTCCTCTTTTCTTCCTAATAATAAAAACTTCTTAAGTTGTAGTAGGGCTTGTGAACATCTATTTATAGTTTGTACTTTCCAACCTCCCTTGCAATCAATCATGGCCATCTGATATGGCCCATGGGATGTATGCAGTTTCTTGGTGGTAGACTTAAAGAGGCTTTCTTTGGACTCCCCCCAAGCCACCCCTCTGCCCCCTTTCCTGTGTGCAGGAGATAACAGCTTTGACCATAAAAGCAGAAGCAACACTATCGGGCTGTGATACTAAAAGCATGGTCTCTAAACCATAAGCATCAACATCACATGAAACTTGTTAGAACTCTAAATTCTGGGGTCCCACCACAGATTTACTGAAGCAGAAACTCTGGAGTGGGCTCACTCAGAAAGTCCTCAAAGTGATTCTGATGTCCAAAAGCAGAGACCTGCAAACTACAGCTATGGGCCAAAACCATTTGGTAACCAAATTTTGGTGGCCCAAGTAATTTCCCCATTTTTAGAGTTGTAACAACAAAATGACAGAACTGAAGAAGAACACTTAATCAAGATTGCATGTGACCTACAAAGATTAAAGTATTTATCTGAAAGTCCTTTACAGGAAAAGTTTACCAACCTCTGCATGGAAGTTTGATGCCTCCTCACACAGAACATTGAGAGAAGAATTTTAGACCCCTGAATGACTTTGTGGAGCAGACTGATTCTGTCATTTTGATCTGCTTATGAAGAACTGCATAAGCAAGGAAAAAACTATTCTATTTAAAACCTCCATCACTGGAGTCTTTGTTATAACAGCTAGGCCCACAATGTAACCAATGTAGCAGGTAAAAAGGAGCTTCAATGAGATTCACTGATCTTACTTCCAACCCTCTGAAGCAGTCTGAGGTTTTATCTCCAAACTCACAGCTCTCTCGATGTCTCTCTTTAAAGATACAGATGTTTGTTTGATTCACCCTATGGTCCTCCATGCATTTTGAGTACCAGAAGCTTCTGGAAAATTTATTGGAACTTTAAGGTTAAGTTCAATCTAATTACACTTAAATCTTTCCCATCAAAAGTATTTTCTTAAATGCATTTGTTCAGTAATCTTGTATTTTGTATATCCTTTTCTGTAATATTGAATTGGAATGCTTAGTGTGCCATCACTGAACAACCATTATGACCTCATATTCTGACTGATGCAAACAGATTCATCCTTGCGTGGAAAGGTGCATTGAGTGACATCAGTTCTCAACAAATACAACTTGATGATAAGGTCTGCAGCTGTTGGCATTGGAATTTCTTTTTAAGAGGGTAGTTATGATTTAGGCCGCAGGCGGAGGACTCTGCATTTAGGGAAGAGATTAAAAAGGCTTAAATGACCTTGTAGGGAGTAAGGTCTGTATTTCCGGCTATTTATGCTCCCTTTACCAAGGAAATCGTCCTGTGTATCACAAGAAATGGTGCAAAGGAGACTCAGCCCCGGGAAGGGATTCTGAATGGGAAGGAAGAGAAAGAGTGGACCTAAACTTTGTTCGTTGGCAAATGCAGTTCTTTTCTAGGTCTTTGGGGGAATGCATATATCGAATAACAAGAAAGCGGGTAAAACTTGGCTTCCAATGGGAGCAACGTATCCCCAGATAGGGCGCCTACACAGCAAGCTCTGGTTGGGGGCAGCGGGTGGGTGGCCGGGCTTGCCAGAAGAAGCGGGTGCGGGTCGCGGTGATGCACTGGCTCTGTCGCACACCATAAGCCTAGTTGTGGACCACAGGCTCGCTCGTGTCATTTTGTGTGCAGTAATGAAGCCTGACGAGAGGTCTCCAGCTTGCCGATAGCCGGCTGTTGTCCTAAAAATGCAAACCATCGCCTCGGGCCATGGAATCGGGAACAGGCAGAGGACAGAGGCTCCGGCTGAGCGCCCCACTGCTCGCCCTCCCTTCAGCACTGGCAACTTGGATGTAGAAAGCTGGTCTTTACCCTTGTACATAAGGACACAGAAGAAAGGGATTTTTTTTTAAAGATGTCCCGGAGGTCGATGGTTTTAATCCTGACTTTTTTTTTTTTTGCAGAGAACATATCAGGGATGGGGGAGGAGGGATGGCTACGGCCAATCCTCCAGCCCCCTGTGTTTTCTCATGCAAAAACGCCTTTTGAGCTTGAAAGCTGCCTTTTCGGCTCCTCCCCCAAACCTCTCCCTGCCCCCTGCCCCATCCTCTCGGTTCTCTCCTTAGAGTAGGCGAGTCGATTTCCGCCACCTTTGGCAAGGCTTTTCTAACAATGGCTCATTAATATTCGGTGGCGCAGGCTTGCCAGGAGAGCGCAAGAGTTCTCAGCTCCCTGCCCTGGGCACCGAAGACCCCCTCGGGCTACTTAGCAATCCCTGGCCCCGGAGGCAGCCCTCCGCCAGCGCGGCGCTGTGGGGCGCTGCTCCAAGATCTAAGACCGATAAAAACAGACCTAGTCTGGGGTAGCTCCTCCTGGGCCTGAGTCATCTATGCAAAAACAAATTTGTTCCTTTTTGCAGTGTTTGTTGTCTTTGTCTTGAAACGTAGTCTTTACGCTTCCCAAGCAGCATGCCGGTCCTAAGACTGCGAAGACTTCTTTGACTCTTGCAGACACGCATTTTTGAGGTAAAACTTGTCCCTCTTTCCCTGGGAGGGTGTTATCAGCAGCAGCAGTTCACATTTCAGAAACCCTCCTCTTCCCTCATGTTAACCTCCTTGGAAGCAAACTCCTGAAATAGAGGGGGGAGAAATGCACTTTTCCTTGTGTTTTTAGGCATCTATTATTTCTATGGAATTCTTGACAGACAACAAAGAAATAAAAAAAAAAAAAAAAAAAAACAACTGTGGATTTTCTGCTGTCAAGGAAACAAGCTGTTCTCCCCATTTAAGGATCCCTTGGTAAGCCTGGCGAAAACTTTATTAACAATTGATGAATACATTCAATGCCTCACAGAATTCACCTGGAGTCATTTCTAGAACCACCAAGTGCTATGGGGCAAGCTTGGTGAGTCTCTGATTATGAATCCTGTCTGTGCAGAATGCCCCTGGTTTTCTGGAAGGCCTGAGGAGAGGTGCTGAGCCCAGCAGGTTTCCGCCCCAGGATGTGGAATAAGGTATGGACAGTGCTATCACTGTGGCAGTGAAAAGGGGAAGTTCCTTGACCTCACTCATTGCCGGGTCCACTGCCCACACTCCTATAACCAAAGACTAATTGACAAGAAAAAAAAAGCATAACAAATTTATGTAATTAAAGTTTCAAGAGGGGAGTCTTCAGAGACTTAAAGACCCAGGGAAATGTGTTTTTATGCTTAGGCTTGATAAAGAATGGACAGCCAGGTACCAATGTATTTGGACAAAAATGGTAGGATCTAGTGCTGATAAATGGAGGAACCTAGCTAGGCCTGTTTGTTTAGATGGTTCTTAGCTTTTCTGTGCTGCATTATCTCCCCCCACCACCTATGGGGCAGGAAACTTCTGGAAGAAGAGTCTTACGACCTACTTTCAGGGGAGATAGGTCAGAGAGTGATGCTTCTATGCTTTATGACTTGCTGTAGGGGGAATGAGTTCTGGTTTTTATGATCTGCCTTGGGAAGAAATGAGGGAAGGAGAAAGAAGGGCAGGAAAAGGTCAGGGTTTCTGAAGCCCTGCCAGTTTCAGTTCCAATTACTCAGCATACCAAAAGGCCATCCTTTGGGATATCATGTTCTAAGCCCCAGTGCTTCACACCTACATAGCAGTTTTTCATAAGCCCTTCCGCATAACCATCAAACTTGGTAACCCCATTGGGCACTCAAAACACTGGTTGGGGTTGGGGGTTGGGGGAGAGCAACCAACAGGGGAATTACCAGCAGCCAAGATTGAATTTCAAGTACAAGCCCATAATGTCCTCTTTCTGCACTTTTCTTTCTTTTGCATCTCTCTTTATTTTATTTATTTGCTGATAGCTTTCCTTAAAATCCCATTTTCCTGGAGAATTGAGCAGGGAGAGCTTCTCTCTTGCTGTGCTCATATCCTCATGGACTCTTTTCTTCTTGGTTAAGAATTAATTGTTCCACGAACCACTCTGATTTCAATACAGCTTTATAAACCTGAACTGTGACCACTTTAGGCAGTACTCTCTGGTTTTCAGAGTGATGTAAATGTTCTCTTGATTGAACATCACAGTGATCTTCTGAGATAGGGATCCTCCACTTTATTCTCTGCAAAACCCAGGGCAAGTGGTAAATTTATCCTTTCTCTTGGTCACCTTGTTTCCCTGCCACTCCCAGACACTTGATTGGCAACCAGTATATATTCATAAATGCACAAAGTCCATTCTCAGCCTATATGGTAGCAGATATGCTATGTTATATACCAAAAATGGTAATTCAAAGTAGGATTATATTCCTTTGACAAGAATACAATCGAAGTATTATGTTGTTTCAGAGAAGGCAGAGATACTTTTTTGGTGGAAAAAGATAAGATGTGGGTTAAAGACATGGCCTTTGGAATCATAGGGACCTGGGCTGAATCAGCTTCACAACTTGTTGGCTGCAGACATGAGAAAAATTATTCAACTTTTCTGAATTTAAGATTCCTCATCTGAAAAACAGGTTTATTTTACCCAGAGCATTTTCATGGGGATTAAATGAACTAATGTATATATGTAACTCATTAAGCCTAGCACAGAGTGAGAATGCATTAAATGGTAGCAATTATTTGAAGACTTTGCATACTAGGATTTTGACACATAGGGATGGACAGATAATGACATTTCCTATAAATTAAGAACCTATTTCTAAGGTTTCCTAGTCTAAAATCACATATTGAATGATACATATCCTCTTGCAAAGAAAGTGGTTACCAAGATACTTTATGATTTGACTAGTATTTCACAAAACTCTATCACTTTTTCATTGAAATCTCTTGATAATTCTTTGAATAGGTAATATCACATGTCCTTTAACAGGGGAGAAAATTGGAGCCCCAGGAGGTAAAATAACTTATTATCAGTCATATTTTTTGGGAGCCAGACTTGACTCCCTTTTCTGATCCCTGCCCCCAACTTTTTTTCCTTTAGACCTGTGCCTCTGACATTTGTCTAGGGCTTGTGGTGCACTAGGCATGCTCCAAACACTTTATATACGTTAAGTCACTTCTTTCTTACTGCATCTCCTTGAAGTAACACTGTCATTACCCAAAAATGGAGGGAAATGAGGCACAGAGAAGGTAAGAAATTACATGCCCCCATTTTCACAGTGGTATGGGGCAGAGATGCATTCCACTTCAGGTGGGCTGACTCTGGAGTCTACGTGATAGACCACGGATGACACTCTTCCTATGGGATGATGCATCTCCTGGTGTGTGCTCGGTGTGCTACAGTTTCTTTTCTCTGATTCCTTCTATCTTCTTCCAAGTTGAATAAGAACCAGCCTGAGCTGGACAGGTAGTCAATAGTTGTTCACCACACTGGGCAACTTACCTTGGCAAACAATAGCAGCAAATATTTGGGTTGCTCAGGTGCAGTGAATACCAAGGCTCTCTTTGATGAGGAGCAGTGTGGTTGAGGGGACATAAGGTTCAAGGTGCAGGGGTAGTGAGGGTAGAAGAGAATATGAAATTTGGAATAAGCAGACTTGGGAAGGAGACCATGCAGGGGTGGGGAACAGCTTCTCTGGAATCTCTAACAAATCACTGGAACATTTTGGATCTTAGCTAGGACATCTGAAAAACAATGAGGATAATATGAACACTTTTCCCACCTGATTCACATATTGTTTTGAGAATAAAAGAAAGCAATGAGTGAATTTGCAGTTTGTCCTGTAGAAGGTATATGATTATGAATCAACAAAAGACTCAAACTTTAATGTGAAATAAAACCTGATTTTCTATATTGGCTAGAGTGACTAGTGGGAATAATTTGTTTCTGTAACTAAACACAAAACTAGATCTCTATGACCAACCTTCTAACGCCACCTTGGCTTTTGAGTGCATTGAGTTATCTGCATTTTAAATCATGGCCTCAAAATCCTAGTCTTAGGATTTTGTAAAAGATGAGATTGACACAGCATGTTTAGCTCAGCCTGTTGTACAACAAGGCTCTTGAAGGGAAAGAGAAAAGCCAAGATATATTATGGATATTCTCGTTTTTTAATCAGCTAGGTCAACATGACTCTAATACTATTTAAAACCTCGCCTTATCTCACAAATTGTTTTCAATATAAAGATTATTGAAATCTTTATATTGGGGGTCTCATCAGCTTTTCACCTTTATCCAAAGAACAAAGAGGGACCATCTGGTCAGAATGCAGAAGAACCTCTTTCTATGCTGTCATTGCTGCCATCACAGTACTTACTGCAGTCTCTCTGCAAAGATTGTTATAGCTTCTTTATTTGTGGATGAGAAGGGAGGGTTCTCTCTGCCCACATAGGCCTGAGCCTACAAAATTGGAGCCCTAGGTGAGCAGCTTTTTCTGTCCCTATGCCTGCCACCCCACCTAGGCACAAAGTAACTCTAGAGTGATTGCCAACAGAAGTGAGCCTCATCTGCCTGATAGGGCCTATCCTCCTCTCCAAAGTCCCAGATCCCAATTCTGTATTTTTTTTGCTTGTAATGACTCATGTATTAGTAGCTCCTTTGTCTCTCCTGGATTCACCCTCGTCCAGGATCCAACTACTGCCTGTCCACATACTGCCCACCACCATTTTTATGGATAAAGTTCATTGGAACAAAACCATGGTCATTGGTTTACATATTGTCTGTGGCTTCTTTCCTGCAGCAGAGCTGAGCACACAAAGCCTAAAATATTTATTATCTAACCCTTTTCTGAAGAAGTTTGTCTAAGTACATGTGACCCTTAAAAATGCTAAGATGACAGCAATATTAACATAAAATATTCTTGGTCCTTTTTCTTCCTCTTGAAAGATTTCAAAATCAAGTAAATTGATGGGTGGAAAATAAATGTATGTGCAAGAGGTAATGCCACTTATCTGAAGTACCTTCCTTCCAGGTTCTTATCAAATCGACAGTGCATTCTTTTATACTCTTACCCTGCAATGATTTTTTTTTTCCCTTAGAACAAAGAAGATGAGTTCTAAGTTGGCTTGGATGTCTCCATTCCCAGAAATAGAAATAGGTAGCCAGTTTTAAATAGAAAATGATTCTGACTCACCAGTATCCTGAAACACCCTCCCAGGGATAGAAAGCACTATCATAGGGCACACCCAATCGTAAGGCGTCTCAAAATAATAGTACTAGTGGTGACTTCTGGTGACTTTTAGACCTCCTAAAGATTGACCGACCTGAAATCAATCTTTCTAGAAAGATTCTTTGAACAATAATCTTTATATTGAAAACAATTTGTGAGATAAGGCGAGGTTTTAAATAGTATTAGAGTCATGTTGACCTAGCTGATTAAAAAACGAGAATATTCATAATATATCTTGGCTTTTCTCTTTCCCTTCAAGAGCCTTGTTGTACAACAGGCTGAGCTAAACATGCTGTGTCAATCTCATCTTTTACATTTCCCGGGTGTTTTCTTCTTAGATCATGCAACAACCCTGTCATTATTTTAAATATTTTTGCCTGTAAATTGCAGAATACTTGATCTGATTTTAATAGGACCCATGTGTGAAATCCTTTACTTTTTTTTTCAATCTATCGTTCTGATTCTTTCTGCTCTTTAGTACAGCACAGCTTGGTAGCACTAGGTACGTCTTGTTGAAAGTATGTCCATAAATATGTCCCTTGCAGCACGGAACAGCTTGTTAAATTGGCAGTCCTCAGCAGTTTGCCTAGAAAAGTTTGCCTCACTTGCGATAGTCCAAATGTAGGGCAGAACACAGCGTAACTTTTTATCTAATTTTACCAATTGACATATTCTCCAAATTTTTAACTACCTCGTGCCTTTTCCTTATAGTGCCACCAACTTGACTTAAAAACTGGCTAAATGTTCTCACGATTGCCAAATGTGGATAAGGAAATTACCTAATTTAATACTGAATGTTAATTTGGGGAAAATATTGTAACTTAAGACAGGATGCCACAGTCATTGTGGGAAAAGTGCTTTGGCAGGAGCGAGGCCACTGATCTGTCTTATGGAGGGAGGAGGGGTACTGTTTTCTATCATGACAA